ACTGCTAGTGAGGTAACAGCTCCCTACTTCTAACTGGCATCTCCTCTTTATATACTCAAGATTTTTGTTATCTTTCTTAACTATCATATTGTATAGGGAACCGATGGTGAGTAGTTACCTACTGTATTACTGGATATTTCAAATGGTTCCAGGATACTCTATGTTCAGCAATGCCTACAATAGAACAGTAGAGAGCAAGCTGTGCTGTTATGCAAACCTTACATCCATTCTTCTACTGCATAATGTAAAATGTGCAATCTTAGTGTTGTGAGGCAGGAACTTTTGTTGCCCAGGTAGGTGTGCTACTTTTCCGATACCAAATCAGAGTGCAGTATAATCAGTTTTTAAGAGCTAGATTGCAGCCTGTTGTATGTTTGATCTTTGTAATGCATTTGCAAATTCTTACAGAACTACGGAAGAGACATGCAGAAACTGTATGCAGTGCCAGAAGTTTGTGAATCCTTTAGTGACTCGTTCATCTTCTCTTAGTCTACTAGAACCTCGCCAAAGCACTAAATTACATGCTGCACTGAGCGAGTGAATCTACTCATCTGCTTCCATGTGGTCTCCTCAGAGTATGTCAGGTAAGCTGCAAAACCCAACTAGAAGAATCAGTGTTCACGCGTGACTGTGCGTAGAGCAGGTTGAATCTGGGACTGTCAGAGCCCAGACCTGCAGATTTCTACATGCCTCCACAGACCCAGGATTGCTGCCTCCTACATACGAAGGATGTACAGTCCTCTGGAAACAGCAATATGAGAATGGGGGTGGTGGGCAACTCTTACAGTATTACAAAATTTACAACATTTTACACAAATTACAATAATGGAAGTATTGTCAAATACTTTCAGTGTGGCCCTCAGTAACCAGTTAAGCTTTTCAGTCTCATCTGTCAAACTGGAAGTAACAAAACTTGTCTAGCATAAGCACTGTGTAGGTAAATACACCACAGTCTATTAAGTACTCATATACTTCCATAATGTATAGGAGCAGCACTAACTCCAGCTGTAGCCAGTGGTCATGAGAATTGCCTTTAAGAAAGATAGGGAAATGCCAGCCTAGCTGACATCCTAGTTAATTTTCACTCATCTTGTTTTTCAAACATTCTAGACCATGTTTGCACAAATCTGTATGGAATACAGGAAAAAAGAAAATGAGGCAGAAATTGCCCTCACAGGTGAAACATAATAGTGTAACAAACACTGGAAGATTAGGACTTAAAATGGGAAGATGTGGATTACTCTTGTCACTATCTTAATACTTAACAAGCTCTTTTTTCTACTATTTCACTTGTCTCTAACTCCTCCAAAACCTGTCCCCTACAGCCAGTATCATCTTGTGGACTTTCTTAAGCATGGTTGTTGGACTGCTTCAGGTATTTTTTCCTTTTGCTTTATGTATTCCCAGGGAAAAAACAGCAAGAGTCAACCAAGCAAGAGTTGGCAAATGCCAAACCAATTTTGTTTTTCAGTAGCATCACAATTAAGTTGTATTTTTAACATATCCACAGAAATGCATCTACATTTTGGTCGTCTTTTAGTTGTTCATGAAAACAGTGGGGCTCTTTTTAAATGGGATGCCATTTTTTGTTGTGAACTCTGAGAGGCTTCAGCAAATAGTAAAAAAAAAAAAAAAAACCTCAGTTCCCAGCCCCTCATGTAATTTTCTTTAAAATATCTTAAAATGCAAAATAAGTAGGCATTTTTCTATTTGATTTCAGCTGTTAACTACAGCAGCATAAGAGAAGTTTGGGAGGTCTTTGGTGATCGAAAATGGTGAACTCGGACAGCTTTGCAATCATAATTTCTTTAAAACTTTTTAGGTGGAACTGCTGGAGATTAGCTGTTAGCGTAAGAATGATAAAAGGTGCTGGGTTCAGCAGCTCCCTATGACTCATCATCTTTCAGAGATGAGAAGTTTTGAATGCAATAGAAAATAACTTGCATCCCTCCTCTGCGTGACTGATTAAAATCTGTATCACTAATCAACATAGAATATAGTTAATGACTGTTTAATTAATTTACTGTAATTTTTGATGAAGCTCACTGCAATTACTTTTCCACATGCTGCTACGTGATAGTAATGATTTTCAACAGAAAGCAGGCAGTCTGTGTAGCGTGTGTCAGCTCTCAGAGCAGCGTCACTTTAATGACTGCAAGGAATTGCTCTCGTAGAGGATTCAGCTCAGAGATATGATTAGCTAGTTAATGCACACAATTCCCATAACTACAAAGGTTCCTTTGTGCATAAGCTACTCAAATATGTACTAGAGCACCAGTCCTTCAGAAAGAAAAATTGTAGCTGGACCTTGTCCCTTTTTAGATTTGAGCCCAACAGCTGTTGTTCTGCCAGGTGACTGCACGAATCGCTGCACGAGCACCTTTCATTGCTGCTTTTAACACTTACTGTAAATGGTTATGTCTCCACACTCATTCCACCTTTGAGAAAGGAGCCTAAGTAAAGGTTAGTAATACATACAAACACCTGGAAAGAGATTACCCTATCGGGAAGTGAAATGAGGTAGCTTATTTATTTCACATCTAACCACTTTTTACAGTTATTTTTACCCTCCTGTATTTTATGGTGGGTGCCCAGTTTCCATCATTTATCCCTTTGATGCTGCTTTGTGGAGGCTACATAGTGTTGTGCTGATTAAACTAATTTCTCTGATGTTTAATATGTCTCACTTGTTCTGTTTTGGGATCACATTATCATCCGACACAGGACTAACATTAGCAACATTTCTAATTGTGTTCCAGTTACATTTGTCTTGTTCCTGCCATTTAATTTCTTAAACTGGTTTTATCTCTTTAGCATTTCCAATTTCCAAGAAACTTTTTATAGTGGATTTCGAAGTCTCGGAGGCATATTTTTTCTGCAGTTAACAGTTTTTCTTCACAATTATGGTTGTAAATATCTGCGTATACGTATTTATGACATTGTTGATCATGTAACTTCTCTAAAACCTTTTAAGTTCTTGAAAATTGTTTGCGGATCAACATCAGCATTCTCTCATGACTTAATGAACAGTAAGATTACTGTAATGTTCCTCAAATTTCAACACTTTTTGATCTATTTTGCTTTTGATACTTAAACAGCCACATATCTGATACCTTCCTAATGATGAACAAACTGTCTGTGTCTAATTGCTGGCCTTTTCTTGAACTGTGCAGTGAAACATCATTATAAAACCAAGGTCATACAAACATGTTTTATCGCTTTGCTGATGAAATGCCTAATTGCTTTCTGCGGTTGTCTTCATCACCATCTAATCAGGGAACAGTGACAATAAAAGTAATGATGTGGTAGATCCTTGACCTCAGTTCTCACTGCAAATAACTGCCTGACATTGTTACCATTTATGGTCATGCATTCAGCATTATCACATAAGCATTTGGTGATTTCATTAGTGTCTGGTATTCCATAGTATGCCATTATTTCATGTAGAAATTTTAGCATACTCTAAAAGATCTTCTGCAACCCCATAAAAGGATTATTTATTACATGTGGTTCTTTGTTCAATAATAACTCTGAGAATAATAAATTGGTCTGTACCTCATCTTCAGCTCTCCTAATTGCTTGTTCCTCCTTAAGTTAGGGAGTTAACTGTTTCTTGACATCCAAAATACATGTTGGGAGTTGATTTTCCAAGACGCTGAAAGCAGTGTGATTTTACTTCAGAGACTCTTTTAATTCTTCATTCTCACTTCTGTTAAAAGCACTGAGTGTACACAGATAGTTGTTCTGCAGGTGTTTTTAGTAGTTTTCCAGGTCATAGTCTACTTAAGATGGACAGAATACATTTTCTTTTTTTTTTTTTCTCCTTTTTTTGAAAAGTGTTTTCTTTCAATTCACAACTCTGAGTTATAAATCTACTTAGAAATCCTGTTGCAACTTCAAATAAACACAGGAAAGCTTGCCTGTTTAGACTGCTGACTTCACCTCTTTAACACCTCCCCTTTTATTTCTTCTACCATTTGCAGTATCTTTGGCCATTACTGGTTATTATCCCTGTTGTTTGCTTGTCCAGCCACCTTATTTAGTGTCTAGAAAACCAAAAGAAATTAGTTGAATTTTATCAACATAATAAAAGTTTGGGTCCCTGCCAGTTAAAGCTTAATATATCTGAGACCGCATAATTCAATACAAGTTATGGGAGCTACTCACTGCTTCATACCTTTGCCTTTGCTACTCTAGATACAACTACTCTTAAAAGAATGCCAGAGACAGCTAGGCTGATTTTCAGTTACATTTGTATTTACAGATCCAAATCAGGAGTGACTGTGAGCAACTGACTTAGCTTTTTAAATGCAAACGTGAAAGTGAAGTTAGCCAGCCTGGGCATCTTTGATGTGCTATTGAGAGGAATGGCCAGGCTGCATGAACAGACATGGGTATGAAGCTCAGACATACTTGCAGCATGGCTGGGGCTGTTTTAAAGTTTCTCTGTGATACTTCAGAATCTAAGTGAGGAGCTTCAGAATAACGTTGCTATTTTATTATTCAGTGTACGTATAAAATGTGTAAAACGCCCATGTGCTGTTACAATTACTTATTGATAATCTGGCACCTTGGAGAATGTAAGGGGTAGGAGTTTTGTAACCACTAAAATCACTACAGAGTCTTTTAAAATTAGGTGGTTTCTATTGTGATAGAGAAGATAGAATTGGTTGATAAAACTTGGTATGTCACACTCATTCCTGTGTGTGATGCTACAGTGTTGTGACATTATGCAGTGCAGTTGTGGGTTTAACTGGAGTCTTCTGATTTCATACGCATTTTATGCTGCTATCTGCTACTTCAGTAGTATTATTCTGGATTTGTTATAATGTAGATGAGGTAACAATCTTGCTGCAAAAAATTCCATTCAAAATATATGAGAAAATTTAAATATGGAAGATGTTCAGGACTGGTTTCCAGTATTTTTACCAGTTTTCATTTCTCAGTATGCAGAGTACATTTAGCATTAGTCTTCACATAACTTTTTAACTGCTCACTTTTGTTCTAATTGCTATTTTCTGACAGTTTGTTACCACATCTAAGTTAAATCACTTCAACTATATGGTCCATTTAGAAGAAAGACTTTCCTGAAGCTGATGAATGTGATAGTCCCAATTTGATGGAAAGTCCGAGGAACAGCTAAAATAGGGAATATCAATCAAATCCAATGAATCTGCAGTTAACAAGAATGTAGAGAAATATTGCAATATGGGGTCTATGATTTACAGAGCAAAAGAAAAAGGAGAATAAGGCATGAAATGAACAATATGTATTACATGTGTATCAACACAAGATGCAGTGTCTATCAATATATACAAAGATTGCCTATATTCAGATTGAGGTGGACAGAAACCTTGCACATTGGCTTAACTTCACTAATAACTGCTAATAGTGAATTTCTAATTACAAGGAAGAAAGCAAGCACTCAGTAACTTATGTATCTTGAATTATTGAAATGCAAATGACAAAAATTAAAACTAAATCTTTCCATTTATTTGCATGATTGTAGTACTGAGACAAGTAAACATGACTTGGAGCATTGCAGATTTTGAGATGTTTGGTTCCAAGCCTACTGTCTGTGCTGTTGGGCTCCTGCCCTGACATCAAATAGGAGGTGAGGCCGGAGAAGGGATATGCATTGCAAAACAAGTTTAGGCATCAGGCTCTTCTAGGAGCAGAAAATTATTTCCTTAGTTGTGCTTTTGTTTTTAAGCAATTTCTATTTTACAGTTATGTATTTCCTAGCAAATAGACAAGAATATTTAGAAGAAAATACATTCAACAATATCTGTTATTCTAACCCATTGTATTTTGAAGGGAATGGAGGCATACGTATAATGGTAGATGTTGTCTGACATACCTAATGTCTGCTACCAGACAGACTCTCCAGATGATGTAAATTCCCAGACAATTCTTTCATAAAAGCACTATGAGTATTCAATTTTATTTATTTCTGTCTTTTTAAAAAAAACCTACTGGTGCTTTGGTTTGCCATATTTAGACTGAGTATAATATAAAAAACTAGATAGGGCCTGTAAATAAAATATGCTTTGTCTTATGATGCAAAATTTAGCATCTTTAAAATAGTATAATCGTATTCCTGTTTAATCTAGAGGTTTTACAAATGTAAATTTGAGATCTTTCTTATTTTCAAAACACTACTTAAAATGGAAGGAGGCAGATTTTGTTCACTTTGTTACTGTAAATATCTTGTATCAAGAGCAGCCTCTGCACAACTCCTTTCCACCACCCTAGACATTTAATGTTTTTGGTGGACTATGGCCATGTTTGCACTGCACAGCTGACCCATTTCAGCACCAGTGTCCCAAGACAGGTGACACAGGAAAGACTTCATGTGTAGCTCTTAGAAATTACTGCAGCAGAGGGCCTACTGAATGCAGGTATTTTGCTCCAGTGACAGTCTGTTTCCTGTTTCAAAATCTGGTATCAAAGGGAATTTTTTCACATAGCCTTTTTAGCCACCAGCGAAGTATTTATTCCTTGTGGTTTTTGCACAGTTGCTGTGGACATGCTCAGTTACCTGCTGGCTTCTAAACTATGCCAATATTTTTATAGGCTTTTTTCTCTCTTTTTCTCTAAGTGCTTTGGTAGTCATTTGAACAGGTGTCAAGTAGCAGGTGAACAGCAGCAGGCTGAAAACTATTCTACTTGTCTGAAAGACAATGTGAATCAGAGGAATTCACAGCAAAAGCAGATTCCAACATCTAATAAGGGGAAGTAAAACAGACTTGCCTTTGTCTAACCCATTCAACTACATAAAAGAAGTAAGCATGAGCCCACCCTGCTGGGCTGATACTTTTCCCAATTCTGGACAACCAGCAGGTTTCCCAAACCTTGAGCCATGCAGAATAACATATATGATCACATAGAGAGCAGACATTGCCTCTGCATGCTGTCGTGCAGAAAGGCAGGGAACAGAGAAGCAAAAGTTAGACTTCAAGAGAGTATTCCCTGTGATTTTCATCCCTGATGGAGGCAGGGAGGAGTTTACCATTGCCTTGCTCTGGTGGAGAGATCATATTCATCTGTTCCCATCTCACATCTGGAACACAGCACAGCCATGGAGAATCTGGAGAAATTCTGCCAGGCTGCCCTGGCCCACACTTCCTCTTATGTGATCCTCCTCGTTAGTCTGACCTTGTAAAGTCATTATTAATTAACAATATTCCCATGGTTGTGAGAACAAGTTTTTTTCAGTAGTCAGGATTTTGATTCCTCAATTTACAACACTCCACTGCCTCCCTGGCGTGTACTTCGTTGAGCAGCAGTAATGGTTTGCCTGCTGCTTGTTGCTGTTTGACCTCCAGCTGTTAAAAGCCTGCTCAGGCTAACCAGACTGCAGATTCTTACATGGACCAGTGAGCGTGGAAGGGCACAGCTCATGTACCTCAGCCGTGTCCTGGAGGAACCACCGTGAGGCAAGCCACAACCGTTTATGCTCATTCACTTGCAGGCTGTGACGGTGTTTGGGTTGCAGAAGGTACATCCACCAGGACCTTCAGACCACACAGGCCTTTGGACAGCCCTCAGATGGTTTCCATACTAAAGAAGAAATCAACATTAGTTGGGCCACAAAATCCATACACTACATGATGAAGCAACACTATTCTAAATCGGGCTTGAAGTTACTGAGATTAATGATCTTTCTTCCTGCCCTTGCACAGCACTGCAAGCCCTCTGCAGAGCAGACAGCAGCATGTATAATGGATTCCAGACTTCTTTAGTTATAATAATACTATGGCTATACATGGTCCTCTTTGTCTCAAGTAAATAATAAAGTGATCTGTTACAACAAAATGTTTGTAGGGGATAGTTCTACCCACTATATACTATGACTTGCTTGATTTTTCTCTCTGACAGATCTGTTTCAGTCATTGGTTTTGCTGCCAATTTATAGCATTTATAATAGAATAAGAAATGATAAAATAAGAAGCACTTACATAATTTTTTTTTAATCCAGGAAGGTCCTAAACTGCTTTACAAACTATAGGTTAATCCTGACATATTTCTTGGGACAGTTTCTTACACTGTCAATTTTCTGCAATTCTCCGCAATAAGGATACCTAAAGTCTTCGGTGTTGCTGAGATTCTTGATGTGCAAGAATCACTTTCCTATTATCATCATGTAAGGCCTTCTAGAATGGACACGGTTTTTAATTGTATTAAGATAAATGTGGTACAGGAAGCTAACAACTTCAACATCTGTCATCATGCAAACTTGCAAACTGTTTTGAAAAATGTTTTTAACAGTATTTAAGTTTTTATGCCCTGGGATATACACATATCTCACAGGATTAAAAGATCTATTTTGCATTTTCAAAAAGCTCATCTGTAAACAGGAACTGTTCTTATGGTATGATACCACCTATATATATATATATATATATATATATATAAAAGTGTATTTGTGAAGTACTAAAGAAAAATGCTTATTTTATCTGCAGAGGGAAAAGCCAGGGTAAATTTAAGACACATTAAAAATTCCAACACAAACTGAAAAGTTGATTCTATATACCAAAAACCTGCTGTTACCCAAGTATCTAAGAAGTTGGTGTCATCATCTATTCAGGTATAAAATACAAAAAGATATTATTAACTTAGGAAATTCTAAAACCAGTGATGGAAATTATAAATCCAGTAACTCCACTGCACTTCTTCACTGATAGTACGATTACCTTTTGAGAAGACAGTACTGAGGTTGTTCGTCAAATATAGACTGCAGCAGAACTAGACTCTGAAGCTAAGCTTAATTTCTATATGGCAAATTTACCATATTTTCATGTATATAACCTGCAGATTATCTAATGGAGAAATAAAGAGCCAAGAAACCTTCTCTTACTCCCCACTGTTTTAGCAATTGCTGTAGTACACAAGTCTGCCATTTTCTGAAGGAGCTGTTTACTGAAAAACCTCTTTCACATGCTAAATACCTTGTGCATGATCACCAGTGCCTACTGCCTTTTTCTTAGTATTTTTTATGTACCCAACCCGGACAGAGTCATCTAGTCACTTAGTTAAGGGCTTGTGAGTTTCAAAAGTTGCAGGTTATAAGTCTGAAAATATGGTATCTTTTGTAATGTGTTACATGCTGAAATACAAGGGATAAATAGGGTTTTGTTAAAGAAACATCTACTTATTTCTTCCACTGAGCTATGAAAGGATCGGGAAAAAAAAGAAACAATTTTATGGGAACTGCAGGGAACACAGACGGTTCATTGGGGAAGGGGTAAGGGTTACTGGAGTGACTTATCAATGCTCATCTCCTGCAAATGCAGGAAAAGGAGCATATGGTATATGCTCACCTGATCCTAACATACATTCCCCGCTTAATGCTTCAAAAAAACCCGAAGAAACAGAACAACAAAAGTCAGTAGCGGAAAGTGACCAAGAATCCTTCAAGAATTATTAAATAGTTCCCTTTAATTTGCAATGGTATGGCAGAATTGACAAATGGTATAACCAGGCTAATATATTTTTTAATATCTATTTATCTATCTATAGATATCTATCTTTATGCAATGATTATGTTTTTATATATACACACAAGTGCACACACACATGTATTACGCTAGAATACAAATGCTGGTCTTAACCTGTATGGCAATTCCAACTGCAGACTGGGAAATCAATGTGCAAAAAAGCTGAAGGAATTAGAAGGAAAAAGGAAAGCGGAAGAAGCAGTGAAAAGAAGAGTGCTTGCAAATAAGCACAATCAGCTCTCTTATCTTAAATAGCACTGATAGACTCTTCTGTTTGGACAAGGCCTGCTACAATGGTCCTTAAGTCGGATCTGCACTGGATACATCCCGTACTGGCTACAATGCCAAATGACTTCCTTTTTCACTGATCCTTGTGTCTAACAATCATTACCTTTTCTGTCATGAAACATCTTCAAGCATATTTGCTCTAGATTTACACTTAAAATCAAAGGGCAATTTATGAAATAAAAGACCTACTGCTATCATCACCCCATCTGCAACACAGTGCTACCCAAAAGCTTTTAGACCAAGATCAACCTTGTGGCTTTACATGCTCTACAGCTTCAGAAACTGCTGTCACCTTTCTCACCCTACTCATTCTTAGATCACTTTACTTTGCAAAACTCAGCATTCAGCCTTCTGGAAGACTCCTAAAATACACTGGTGACTCTGTGCCCTTTCTGCCCCCTTCCAGATCTTTATGATCTCTTGCCAAGAAAAGAAGTCCCTGCATTTCTTGACACCTTATTCAGAGCATCATTTTATTCAGCTCTCTTCCTTTGCTTCTGTTTTCTTCGGTAAAACCAGTCCAAAATCATTCAATGTAATTTTGTTCCATGGCTATCAGTATTTAGGTTTCTTCTATTTATATTGCACGTTCCGTCTGCTCCTGAAGTATCTGTCTCTCATTTGGTCTGGGTTTTTCAGGTTTTTTTGTTTTGGTTTTGTAGCATTTAACTTAACAGTAGCCTAGTTGTGTCACTGTCAAATGAGATCAAGCTATGCCTTTTTGGCTATCCATATAAAAAAAAACTAACCTGGTTTTTATGTTGTTTCTGTCTCATGCCACAAATAATGTGGATCTCTGACATTTCACATTGAAGCTATTTCAGTGTTGCTATTTATATAATCTTTTAAAATCAGACCAACAGATACATAGGTACACACAGCAATTACTCTTTGACACCATATTAAAATTAATTTTATAATGGTCAATGTAGAACAAAGAATTGTAGTTTCTTTGTAGCACAGAGTAGTAAAACTATTTAGCACTGAAAAATGGCAGCACTTATTTCTCTGAGAACAGTATTAAAAGATGACTTAATATATTCCAGAGTAAGAAATCACTCCTAAGCAGTAATTCTGTAAGATAGCTCATGATAAGAATAATTATGTGCTAGAAATGGTGCTGTTCAGCCTGAGTTTGTAGGCACTGCCAAATACAGGTGATTGTTCACACTACAAAACAACAGAGTCAAAAAATGTATCACAGTATGGCTTAACTTACTTACCAGGCAGATGTACTCTGAAAAGACATCAGGGGTGGGCTTAAAGCATCTCCTTTTAACGTATGTACTGTCTGTGATGTCTGAGGCTGTGGCTGAGTTTGAGGCTGTGTCTCTGGCTGAGGCTGTGTCTGTACTTGGCTTGGATCCTGAGCAGGGTTAATCCATCGGCTCTGTCCCTGTGTCATCCACTTTCCCTGGATTCCCCACCGTGCCAGGTAAAATTTGCAAATATCATAGTTCATTGAAGAGTAATATAAAAGGTCCAGTACCAGCAAGATCACCACAAAAAAGCCATAGATCCACACTCCTAACAGTGCACTGTAGTTGCTATGAAAGAAAAAAAGAGAGCAAAAATTATCTCACACATCAGTAATGGTCATTGTATTAATGAATGTTGTTTGTCTCATTAATTATATAATATATAGGTGGATGGAACAAAAATTTTGTTCTAAAGCGTATGTCCTTAAAAACTATTTATTATTTCAAACTAAATGCTGATATATGCATGACATGGGAGAATTTAAAAAACTAAGCCCCCCTGTCTTACAAACATTTTTGTTCCTCCCTCTCATCCATGTATTTATATCAGCACATAAATTTGACATACAATTAGCTTCAATGCTTTAATTGAGATCACTGATATGTACATGGTTGATGGGTCATATGTCTTATTCTGCAAATTCTCACTCCCAGACAGTCACCCTACTGAAAGTGACAGGGCATTTATGAGAGTGAGGGTTAACCATGTGAAAAGATACTGTAATACTTGAGACTGAGGAGTGTCTATACTATTGAAAACATTCACTGCTGACATGCATTATAAACCACTTGTCTTAAAACATGTTTAATGTGCTTGGATTTGCTCTGAATTTAGTAATTAATTATTGTTGGATACCGAAGACACTAGTAGAAGTATAAACTTTCAAGAGCAACTGCTAAAGATCCCTTAGTTTGATGGTAATAAATTTAGGAAGGAAGAACATTGACAAAATCATATTGTTCAATGGATTCCACAGCGAGGAAAATATGTACTGTGTTTGTATGTATATATTGGTGTCGTTATAATGTGTGTATATATAGGTAAAGGCCATGAAAATTATCATCTGCTGACATGGTGCATGGAGCTGTAAAGCTTTGACAGGTGACTAAGGGTATTAAAAGAATGGGGGGGTGGGAGGGGGGAAGAAAGAAGAAAAAGTAAAAGGGGTCAAGAATTTGGAGAGCAAAAAGGGAAAGATGTGCTAAAGCTCTGTTGGAGCTTCAATATTATTAAAAGAAAAATGACTGTCTGATGTAAATGCAGTTTGGATTGGAAACTGTGTGAGTGGGGAGGATGAGGTCAGAACAGAGAAGGAAAGAAATGGGTAAAAATGAGATTGTTAGGTGTACAGTGAAGAAGGCTAATCTAGACCTGTGAGCTAATGTGGAAGTTTGTGTACCAGAGACTGCAAAAACAAGAGCAAGCAGAAGGGATACTAGCAAAAAATGTCATTAGGAAGACAGTCTTGGAGAAGTAACAGGTGGGCAACCGACATCTATGTGAATCTGAACTTACATAAATAAAATTAAACACACACTCAACCATGCCCTCTTTCACAGACATTCAGAGAAACTTTGAGGGAACTAGAGTTTATCAGAACATTGATCAAAACAGAAGGGTTGTGAGAAGAACAAAGGCTGAGAAGACATATTATAGATGCAAGCCAAAAAGATATTTTGACATTTTAAAAACATGTCCCAAGCCTTTTCAGATCTAAAACGTTTAAAGTCTCTGCTTTGAACTTTCACGCTCATTTAAAACTCCTCTATGACTCTTTCATTTTATATTTAAAAAAAAATCAGAATCTTAAACTAGAAATCAGATAAGGAATCAGAATTTTTATTTCTGTGTTGCTGCCTGTCAGCACTTAAGGAGACTGATCCTCCTCTCCAGGGAACGCTCTTTTCACTACACAGATATAACATGCTTAGATTAAATGAGGTTCCATAGCAAAAAACTGTAAGTAACTAGAGGAAGGTCAGAGCTGCTAATGGGTCTCTTCCTATGTAACTTTAGGGTTATGCAAGCCCAGGTTTTAAAAAAAAATTTAGAAAATTACCAGTAGGATCAGAAGTAGACAAAATATGGTGCTTCTTCCCTTAGCTCAAGAGTCTTTGCCTCTACTAAAGACTTACACATGCACGCCTAACTTCACACAACAGTGAGTAGAGCTTTGTAATGCATTAAAATCTTTGCAGTCCAGGAACTTGAAAGTATAACAGGATCTGGTTAATCCAGGCTTCTCAGCAGTGCTACTCTTAACTTGCAGTGGATTTATTCATATTGGGGTAAACTCTTCTATTTTCTGCTAATATAAATAAAAGTGAAGTGAAGGCTGGAGAAGTCAAGAAGAAATCTACTGTAACAAATACTGTTCTTTTTCATCACTAATGCCAATAGGATCCATTTTACAAATAGGTGAGCTGTATTTAATCCATAGTAGGAATGGAAATACTAGAAAACATGTTATTTTTGTCTTGGCAACAATGTGAGAGGCAGGGACGCTTCTTACAGTTAAAAAGAATCTGTTTGTATTTTAGTTATTTAGTTTCACTCATCAAAATTATAGTTAGCAAAAATTAGAGCTATTTTGAGTGTTACAATTTAAAGCAACAATTTATTAATAATGCCATATGTGAGTTACCCATCTGCTCCTTCTAAATAACATCTGTTTCTCACAAGTACAAAAGTGAAAGGTTCCTCTATTTTAATTAACAGACAGTGGGACAACAGCACTATCAAAAGGGCCTTGTGAAAAATCGCAAGCAAAATTAGTAAGTGGTATGTTTTGTACACAGAAGGAAATTCCATACTTAATTGTTTTCTGTTTATCAAACTATTAAGATGGTAGAAAATATTAGTTTTGCTGATGGCTACTAATTACAGTAAAAATTAAAACTTTCCTACATATTAAGATGTCTTACTTAGAAAATAAACAAACTTACTCTGAATAACAGTAAGGCCAGAGACACAGAAAAGAACTGGGAGTGAAAAAACTCCCAGGACTTGCTCTCATTTCATTGAACTGAATGATTTAATTGTAAAAGCAACTTCATCTTGCAATCTGATTTTCCTGTACTTTTGTGCAGATTCATAGAATAGTTTGGGTTGGAAGGGAGGAGTTTCATTTCAATTAAAGTATGAACAGATCCCAAATTTACCGAGATTGAAATTATAGGGTTTGTTCCTTCACAGGGACAATCAAGTATAATAAATTACTTTCTGGAAAGCTTGCCCTGCCCTGCTAGTGCTCCTGCCCTTCCCAGTCAGTGATTTTGGAGGTTTATGGTTAGGTTCAATGCAAGGTTTAGCAATATAACACTGAAAATTATTTCAACAGCTATGTTGCCCAGTCCTCTGCTGCTGCTGGCACACAAATACAAAAGTTAAACCTGCAGTAAAAGTTACGAGACAATTTCCTTTTAGCTTCTCCGTGAAAGAGGGTAAGTCATGAACCTACCAGCAAAATCTTAGCAGCTAATTATTTTAAGATACTTCATCTTTTATAGAAATATGATGTATACATGGTATAACCTAGAGCTCATTTGTGTAAATGGAGAGATTTGCTCTGACTTCAGGGAGCCCTGAATTGTGCTCTCTCAGAACAATAAATACTTTTACCATCCATTTCCTATTCCCTCTACCAAATCCTGCTTAGATTTCTCATTCCTACACACAAATGAAAAGACAGGTTCTTCTATTATTATTCTTACCCATGTGATTCTTTCCATCTAATTCATTAACTTTTTGAGACAGATGACAAGCAGGTTAGGACCAGGCTATGTTTTTTTTAGAAGAGTTTGTTGGCTTTTATGTGCAGCACATGAACAGAAAATAATTCGTTTTGAAATTCAGGCTTAAAGAAACAACAAATCAAAACAACCGTGAGCAGAATTCTATAGCTGCAGAGTTTAAAAGTGGGCAGATGGCCATGGAAACTGTTTCTTCCCCTATTCTCCTTAAACAGGGCTGCTACTTGCAATAGTAACACTTTTTAAGTGTTGTCCCAAGGAAATGCAAGCTTATAAACTAGCAAATGCCTTAGTACATCTAACAGTAAGGAATTCCGTCCAGTTTATGCCTGTACACTTTAAATGCCATTTTTTTTTCCTATTTTGTTTTTACTACTATCTCAAGGCCTTTGCCCAATCCTGTGTTTTCCTGTAGAACCTGTTACTGTAGTACCTATGAGGTCTTCCCAGCTAAATTATATCTTTTTGCAAAAGTTGGTAGTAGAATTGATTTTTTTCTTTTTTTCTTTTTTTTTTTTTTTTCTTTCTTCTAAAGATGACTTTCAGAGAGATATTTAAGCAAATGCCAGTTCTGCAGGGGACATGCTGTACATGGAGAAAGACAGTGCTATTCTATCCTCACATGGCTCTCAGTGCAATGTAGTATAGTGTGCAAAAGCCATTCGACCCTGAAAAACTGGAATAAGAGATAAGGAAAAACATGGATGCATTACAGACTGACTTAACGCTGTTCCAGTATCAGATTAAGGACCCCTAGCATAGTAGTACTGCTGATAATCCACCAAAACATGCATAATAGAAAATCTGAGAGTATAAATACTAGATTCAAGCAAAAAATATTTTTAAAAATAGTTAAACTACTTATTAGACAAAGTTTTATGGAAAAGTACTTTGGATGGTAGAACATTTCTTGTCTGTTAGACATCACTGGTATTTCTATATTTAATAGTATATGAATTGTTCACATTCAAAAATATTATGGACTGATTCATCTGCATGATTGCAAAGACACAATAGTCCAGTATTCTACACTTATAAAAACATAGAAATCTTTTGTTATAGTAATGGAAAGAATGTAAATAAACCTGGCTGTAGTTATACTTTGAGTAGAAGGCAAACATGTTTTTTCAGCTGTGCCACGACAAAGAAGTTACAAGTCACTTCATTAATTTTTCCCTCAACTGTATTATAAAACAAGAAATTTGTTTTGATGATCACAAGAATGGCTAAGGGGAAAAATAAACCAAATAATAATACTGAAATAAACCAAATAATAATATTGAGTCACTCTTCCCTGAAAACTATAATCCTTTTTTTCAGTTCATTGCTATTCCCATACCCTAAATCATTCTCCACAGACACAGTACAATAAGTTTCATCAGAATTTTTTTCAGTGGTGTGTGAAATTAGATCTAAACAAAGAGCTGACTTTGTTACTGTAAAGTGAACCCTGGATGTATTAGAATCCAAATAAAGTTAAATTACTGTATGTTAAATAAAGTTTGAGCATATTAAGTAAGATGCTTTTTACAATGTTTTTAATGTAGGCATCTAGCCTTCACTTCTTTCTGTCCCTCCACAGCCTACTAAAATTATCAGGAAGTTTTCTACCAATCTCAGTGAGCACAGGGTGAGGAGATGTCTCTTCCTCTGCCTCACTAGATTGGTGGAGTTTTACATAGAGTTATGGTCTCTTAATTTTCCTGGCCCTGACTGATTTATCAGAAGTGATGTTTAGGGAAGTTACAAAAAGGCAATACTGGTTCTATTCTTGCACTTCTCTAAGGTACGTTTCAAGAAGCTTTTTTATTGTCTTTGCAAAAGATCAGCACCTAGCTAACACCCATGGGAAATTCTGGACTGAAGACATATAGGGTAAATATTCTGCAGGTGGTTCTCAACCATGAATCTTACAAGACTACAGAGGTAGGTATTTCTCCATCACAACTGAACGAGGTGACTTTAAAAAAAAAAAAAAAATCACTAAGTGAAAACTAGTATAATACTCTATGCTCTAAGTATTTTAATTAAAATAAATGCTGTAGTTCAAAGAATATAAAATTCCCTTTCTCCTATTGAGTAACCTCTCACACACAACAGCCCTGTAATATGAACAGCCTGCATTTATTTCTTTGGGTGTGCGTGCATGTGTGTGTACATGCAGATGTAAGCAGGCATGCAAACAGAGAATGCAGAAGGCAGAGAAATGTTCTACATCCCAGGGCACGTTTTGCAGTCAGACTGTACCTGCTGCGTGTACCTCTGTACCGGACTGTACCTCTGTGCACGTCTGCTTCGGAAAGTGCCCGATTGCCCTGTCCCTTACAGGTTGTTGGTAAAAGGAGGAACAGGAGGGCCTTACCTTAGTAAGCTCTGGCCATGGCTACATGGAGTATCTGCTGAGTCACTGGAAAAAGCCTGAAGCATTGGCTTTCTACTTGGCTGAACTACAACTGGCCCAAAACATCTCAAACTCTGTGATGGAGATGCCTGTTAGGCAGACTTGGTTGCTCAGCAGTGTTGGTGCAGGGTTTGCAGAACAGTAAGGAAAGAAATAAAACAAATTTGCTGTGTGCAAGACGAAGAACTGGAAAAAAGTGGAGGCAATAGACACACTACTGCATTCTTGAGACTCTCTTTATCACTGTGAAGCAGTTTCTGGCTCTGTCTGTGACTATGCACGTAGCCCTTCTGTCCTGAGAGTCCTGTGAGGACCTCTCTGCAGGCAGGCATCCGATTGCTGCTGTGGTAGCATGCTCATCCCAGCAAACAAGGGGAGAGCACATCCACGGAGTGTATGTAGAGTGTGCGTTGCATGGGGGCACTGGGGCACACCGTGGTGTAATCTCCACCAGTTGCCTGGAGGTATGTATGTTGTCAGAGCTGGGTGTCCCTGGGTGAGGGTGCTACCAGTTTCTAGATTGTCCAGACTGCACAAAAGGTGGAGAAAATGGATGGTCTTTAATGAGCCTGCTAGATTTCAAGTGTCTCCCCTGTCTTCTGTGTGATATGCTCTCATGATGTTCCCAGATGTACTACAAGGCCAGGGCAAGGAAATTTTACCTCAAGGACATAGCTGCACATACAGTAACAAGACAGTACAGATGCACATTGATTTAAAGGTATCTTATATGGGTAGAGTCTATTTTTGTCTCTTTTTACATTACACAGTACACAGAATTCTTGACAGTGGGTGATTGTTACTAACACCTGTGAAGTTAGAGTATGCAGCTTCTACATCCATGCAAGATTCAAACTTCTCTAGGCAGAGCTGTATGAGGAGTGGTTGTTAAGGAAGACAGCAGTTTGCTGACTGGGTGAGCTGGCTGCTGCTGGACGCAGCTGCACACAGCCAGTTAAAAGAGCCGACATCAGTATTCCAGCACCATCGCCTCCCAGCAGCCTTGCACCTGCTTCCATAGGATTGAATGGCAACACACCCAGTGACTTTTACACCACAGAATAAAACACTAAAATCCTTGTTGTAAACAAAAATCAATAGACTGGAATTCCAGTTGTTTTTAATCTGCCCCTTCCTTGCTCTGGAGGGGCTGGATACCAGAATAAAATGGTAGGGGAAAGCAGACATATCAGAATTTGACCTTGGAGGTTTACATCAGCTGAAAGTTGCTCTGCATCAAGACAAATCAGAGCAGATTAATGTGGCCAGAATGTCAAATACTAAATAGGAGACAGACCACAAGTGTAGATTTTGGCATCACAAATAGGTAATCAGTAACAAAGATCTATTTGCTACGTACTGATTCTTGACAAAAAAAGTTACTGACATTTACCTTAGAGGATGGGCCATGGCAATACATGGAAGTATTGCAGGCAACGGGCAAGAAGACCACACAATTTTGGTACATAAGCAAATATGTTCTGCTCCTCAAGGTCAGTGATTACAAGAGATTTATATTCAAAACATCAGTGATTCAAAACAGTGCATTTGGATTGATATGGAAAATGTCAACTCACTCCCTCTCTCCCCTACAGAGAGCTTTAGGGTTTATTTTTACTGATATACATTTAAACACAGTTTGGATCAGACTGGGGCCAGGGGAGAGACTTTTGTACCTTTTATATGTAACTTTATATTTGTTACATTTATATGCAACTTATATATATATGCTCTCCTAGCAATGTTTATAGCCTATGTCAAAGCAAAGAAAGCAAAGACAAAATATCCTTTCTTTTAGGAGTTCTGTAGCAGAAAAAACCTTTTAGTAATGTTTCTCTGTGCGTGCAATTATTCTAATTGCTTCCATCATTAAGTACACCTCAGACTATGTTATTAGACCAATAACAGTTTGGTGAAGAGTACTTTAAAACTCATTTACTTACTTATGCATATATCCATCTGCGTTCCCTGTTAAGTTCATCTGCATAACAGTCTGAAATTCTGTCTCATTGCAGCAGTATTTAAATACTGTGTTGTTATGGTGACAGCAGAAGATGTAAGATTTATTGTCAGAAAGACGGGGGCAGTGAAAACCAAAGTGGTAGCGACCTTTGTAGTCTGTATATGGCTCGCAGACCCGAAAATGTGCGGACAACACTGTAAAACAAAGAACAATATTGGCTTTGTGAGTCATTTGTGTTATCTGTATGTTACAAACTATATTTTTTCATTGGTTAGGCTTAAACAATTGTTTGATTTCAGAAACACATGAATATTTCAGAACTTTCAACATTGTAACATTTAGTAAAAAAAGCTTAAAATATTTAGCCTCTTATTGTATTTTGACTTTTATTGTTACTTTTCTGATTACTATTATTTCTGTTATGGAAGAAATGCCCTCCATGCCAAGAAGCACAAAAATATTTCGAAACATTTTCATACTGCTGTTCTAAATATATGGATATCTACAAACACCCAACAATGTTCATGTTTGATTCTCCTGGGATGACTTCATAAAAACAAAAAGTCTATGTAAAAACTGCATTAAAAGTTTGATGATACTTGATTTATAATCACTGTTCTTGACAGAAAATGTCTTCTCTACTGTAAAGGTCATTCTTTGATAAAGATGATTCTGCCAGAAACAGTAATTGCAAAACAGTGTAACAGATCTGAACAACTCTGAATTTGCAAATAGCTAGGACTAATAGACAGACAGATATTCCTGGGAGTTCTTACATTTCTCCTTTATTAAATTATCTAGTAAAATATTTATTACATCCCTCAGGGCATTTTTTACAGGAACATGTCACACTGATTTCACCATCACTTTTCCTGGAATAAAAAAAGTAAAGAAAAAGATATGCTCTCCATATATATTATTTGAATGCAGACTTGAGGCTGATTGTTGTGTGGTGACAGACACACTGTGGTCACATCCACATGACAAGACTGTGGGAAGATGCAAACTCTCTGACCATGCTGTAAGCCTACTGGTTGCAAACAGCTCTGAACTGGAAACTGTGCAATCGTCTTAGCTTCCCTGAGCTAATCAACCATGTAGAGTCACAGGATACAGATCCCTTCCAGCATGGTCATAAGCAACCACATGCGACTGCCTGGTTGATCTGAAAAGTCTTGTAAGAGACAATATTTGGTTCCACATACTGCCAATATTTTAATTGATTTACAGTCTGTGTTATGGTAGGCCTTACGGCATCATTTAAAATTACATATACCATACAGACCCCCCCCAAAGGCCTTACACTCTAAGGAAAGTGAAATGTAGAAGTCAAGAGTCTGAATATTCTTAGCAGTGAAATTTTTTTACTCCTATTAGAGAACAGAGGCACAGCCATGTCACGGGTAGCTGCACTTCATAAGGTTACACCAATTAATAAAGGATATTCACTGACTGACAGAATTAACCTCTTGTACTGGGAAGCCCAGAACTGGACACAGTGCTCCAGGTGTGGCCTCACTAGTGCTGAGCAGAGGGGGAGGATCGTGTTTCTCAACCTGCTGGCAGCACTCCTACTAAAGGAGCCAAAGAGACAAAGAGCTTTCCAGTCAGCTGGCCCCAAGCATAGACTGGTGCCTGAGGTTGTTCCTCCCCAGGAAGGTGCAGGACTTGGCACTTTGCCCTGTTGAAGCTCATGAAGTTCCTGTCAGCCCATTTCTCCAGGCTGTCCGGGTCCCCCTGGATAGCAGCACAAACCTATGCCTTGTCAGCTACTCCTCCCACTTCTGTATCAACAGGAAACTTGCTGAGGTTGCACTCTGTCCCACCATCATTTTAGTTTTAACTACGTATCATTTGGTTTTGGAAGTGTTAGGTCTAGAACATAATGGGAGACATATGGCATGGGAGAACTTCACAAACTAAATAGAACCTTTAACTAAGTATTTGAATTCTAGCATGAACAGGAACTTGATTCAGTTACTTAAATACAGGTCTGCAGTGCCAGCTAAGCCTTTCCTAGGCTCTTCTGTCTGGTCTCCAGCTTTCAGCAGAGGAGGTGGAGGTCTCTTGTTGGTCTGGTGCATACATGAATGACCTGGGGTAAATCAAATGGCATTAGATGCACATGGCTAGGCACCTATAAAGGCCCCTAAGTGTTTTCTAAATGTTTTATATCAGTTTGCAGGCGTGCATTACATGCACTACAATGCATGTCATTCCACCAGTCATCATTACTACGAGAAGTTAACTCCATGACTGATGCCAACAAACAGAAAATGAGTCTTATTATTGGACCTAATAAATGCAAGTGAAGGCATAGCCTTCATATTATAGCACTGCACTTCCAATAGTGATGTTTATCCATGGTATTTTTATTTACAGTATCCAGCAGAAGAGCACCTATCTAATCCTTCTCTGATAAATGGCCAGGTTCAGATGCTTCAAAGGAAGATACAGATGTGCTATATCAAAAAAGCTGTGCTCTAGTAAGAAAAATGTCTTTCCATTCTTCTCCTTTAGGGGTTGCTTATGTCCTGAACATTTGCGTTTGGATTTTTTCTCCCCAACTTGTCCAGTGTTCTCCCTGTCCAGCTGAAGGATAACTTTCACTGAAACTAAAGATTTCTTATCAAAATTACAGTTTAATATTAGATGGTTTACTACTTCAGTTGCAGACTTAGAGAAAATATAACTGATCTGAACTGATGAGTTTGACAGTTTTCACTTTTTAGTCATCTTGTCATATTCCTTCTTAGTTGGAATATCTGCACTTTGATTATATCAGCTGCTCCTAGGAAACAAATTTTTCTTCTTTACTACCTGTAAAGCCTCACAGTGCAACACAAATTTTGTTTATTATACATTATCAACAGAATCGTATTTTTTTTCAAAATGCAGGTATAACGTCATTTATGCCTAAAGATATATTAGCTTATTTTTCCTTTTAGAAGTTACATTATTACAACTACTTACACGTTAGTAATTTTTGATGCCTCCAGTATACATGGTTGTTTCAATTTTAAGACATTTTCATAGATGATATTTATTGCTAGAACTAGCTTTGCAAATAACAGGATAGCAAAACTGTCATTTTTCATATGTTATTACTACAACTTAGATTAGGTAAATTACATCTGTGTTAGGCCACCAAAACTGAATAGCAGCCCTGCAAGATTATACGTGACTTGTACATGCATCTAGTACATAAGAATTAAAACTAGTTCTTTATGTTTCATAAGCAATCAAATACTTCCATGCTTCTGAAATTACTCAGTGCTCTGAGACACTGCATTTTGAGAATGCATTGGAGGGCTACAGGACCATAAGAAGTTTAGCTGTCTTGTCACTGCGAAGAGGTTTACTTAACAGCACATATGAAAGCATCCCCTGACCCATAGATGGGTCTTCTGCCCATTTTAAAAGGAAAACAAATGCCAAATTTATTTTGGGGATGAAACCTGGGGAAAGGAGAACTACAGAATGGAGAATGAATATAACATCAAGTCAGAGGAGTGATGCCTCTAATAAAATGTAGTCCTGAGCAAACCCTTAAATAGTAAAATGTATGTCAGTGATTAAAATAAATGCACAAATAAGAGCATAACATGATGGCTGAATTACAGTCTGCATTTGGTAGTCTGTATGTGGCCGGTTAACCCTGGTAGGCAGCTCAGCACCACACAGCTGCTTGCTCACTCCCCCTCCCAGTGAGATGGGCGAGAGAATCAGAAAGGCAAAGCAAGAAAATTCATGGGTCAAGATACAAACCGCTTAATAAATGAGTAAGAAAAAAACCCAACAACAACAAAAACAACCCACAAGTGATGCTAAAGCAATTGCTCACTACCAGCAGACTGATGCCCAGCCAGACTCCAAGAAATTTTTGGATAAACTCCTACCCCAGTTTTCTTGCTGAGCATGCTGTTATACGGTACAGAATATCACTCTGGCCAGTTTGGGTCAGCTGTGCCAGCTGTGTCCCCTGCCAGGCTCTCGCCCACCCCAGCCTCCTCACTGCAGTGCGCAATGAGAAACAGAAGCGGCCTTGATTCTGTGTAAGGGCTGTTCAGAAATAGCTAAAATACTGGTGTTTTACCAACACTGTTCTGGTCGCCAATCTAAAAGACAGCACCATATGGGATGCTGTGAAGAAAATTAATCCCGTCCCAGCCAGACCTAGTGCATATTGAAAAAACTTTGCCAATTTATTGTAATCTGTGTGACTGTACTTGCTGTCTTTGCTTCTCCAAGAATCAGAGATCTAATAGACAGAGTTGTAATTACCTTTTGTCTTTTTCCTGAAAATAACTTTGCTTAAATCCTGAGGATTAAAGAGCCTTATTTCTACAGAAATACTTCAGATAAAAGTATTGTACCTGAAAGGCTCTTAAGTTTTCTGTTGCAAAGATGACAGCTGTTTCTGAAGTGGAGTTGCATGTGCAAATTCTCATACTATTTTTGAAAAGTATTATTGAACAGGTAAGTGATATAGATGCTCCTATCGCTGTTCCTACTAATTTTGAGAGGAGAATAGTCTCTCATGCTTCAAATGACTGATCTAAGCCCATTTTAAGATTACTCTACTCTATGTTAAAAAGTAAGCAGCCAGTGTACATCAAACTGTTACTTCCCTCTCTGTTCACAGTTAGAGATCTGTGTAATGCTGATTAAATTTTTAATTTAGCTACTAAATTTTTAAAGCTCAGTGGCTTTCAGAATGGCTGGTCTTTATAAGTTTTCCACCTGGACCCACAGAAATATTCACATATATGCATTTTATTTAGCACAATGCCAATCATTTGAGATCATCTGATAATTCTGCTATATGGACTTTCATTTCCTACTTCAAAGAAAAAATACTGTAATGTGCAAATAATATTTCAGTTTTTGCTTGTTAATATAAGCCTTGCTATCATCTCTGATTTTATAAACGTATTTCAATCCATTAAATGAATGCAAGTATCAACACTACTGCAAAGCAAATCTAAGAGTTAGTGGTCAGAAAGGGTATGCTTCGGGCATAACTGTATGCTGCTCCCTCCTTTATTATGCATTTCTTGTGTGACTAGTACAACTAGTGAGTGGTCACAAATCCTAAAATTGCATGCTATTATGATCTCAATAGCACTGAAATAAAATCAGTCTCAAGTTTCAGTATTCTCAATCCAATTTCATCATTTTTTTAAATGAAGCCATAGCGTACCTATTCCTAACTGAAGCCTTTCTTTCCAGTGTTACTTGTCCCTGCCCTGAGAGCATTTTGCCTACGTTAGGCAACTGCATCTCCTTCCTACCTGCACAGCTACAGCTGCCAAACTTCATCCTCTTTCTGAGCCTCGACCTTGGTATCTGACCACACCTCTGCTGTGCTGCCACTGTTGATGCTTCTCTTGTTTTCTGACACAACGAAGACCAGGCTCTGAGAACAGCCGCTCTGGGAACTTTTCTGTTATTTGTACCCTCACTTTCATTCTGCCTGTGGAGCCAATGAAAGTTACACTTCCAGTTGTTAAGTGCAGTTTTCAACCATGCATACAGATTTCAGAAATTTACTACTATGATTGTGAATCTCAGTATATCAAAGACTTGGAAGTAAAGCATGATCTTAGAGGTAGAAGTCTGTAAATCTAGGGAATTCAAAAGGAGTCTTGCCATTAGAGTTTCATTCCAGCTCAGTTTAAAAATAATGTTCATATCATTCCAATAAAAGCAGCATCCTTTTTTTTCCCCCCCTTGTCATTCTCACTGCATAAAGCCAGTAGTTTTCCTTTATGGAAGCTGATCTGTTTTGGACAAGAAAAATTTACATTCAGGCTAGCTGCAAAATAATAAATAAAAAATTTCATCCTGTAAAATGTGTGTGAGTTAGCAATGACCTAAACCCACTCCTACAGATCTCAGTAGTAAAATTCCCCAAGGAACAGAGTTAGGCTGGCATGAAAGGCTTGTGATGATTTCAAATTAAGTCTGTACGCTACGTGCTAATAATGGATGTCAGATAATAAAATACTAATAGCCAAGAAGCAACAAGAAGATATGGTATACATTTACAAGGACAATAGCTTGTGATGTTAATAGATAAAATACTTAAGAATTAAATGCTATATGTAATTAGTTTCAAATAAAATCATTCTACTCTAGAGGCAGTACTTTTAAGAAAAAAAAAAAGTATCAGAACACTGGCTTTATGTCTGGGTTTGAGGGAGTAAGTGTGTATATGTATCAGTGGCTGACTACTTCTAGTTGCACACATGGTGTAATCACAGTGTCCCATTCAACTGGAACATAGATATTTATATCACCTTGAGGAAAATGGCTGGAGAAGTGGGATCTCAGGAGTCCCCTACAAAGAGCTGTAAAGGTATGAAAACAAAAATCAACAGAATAGACTGGAAAAGCTGGAAAATTCTTGTGATGTTTGATCACTGCGATACATTCACTTAAGACTTCTTGAGTAACTGGCTTCACATTCATGCACCAGGGAAATAGCTTTCTGAAATTACTTTAACCTGGAAAACGACAGTGAAGCTGCAACAACCCCTGTGCCTCATTCTAATATACAGGAGGAGGGAAGTTACATAACTAGGGATGCAGCGCCATACGTAGGGATATCAGTGGAAGGACTCTAAAATAAAATAGGTTTTTACAATTAGGCAGAGCAGCAGTCTAGTTGATAACATTGTTAGCAAAAGTACTGTGTCAGTTATCACTAAATAATGAAATGTCATTAGCAAGAATCAACTTGAACAGTCACAAACAAGCAATGAGACTGGGCATGCACTTGAACTAATTGATGAGGATCTAACACCAAGTATTATAAGCATTACGCAGACATAGAAGTAACAACCCTTACTGGAGCACGAGGGTACTTTAAGATATATAATGCCTGGTAAAGTTTTAAGTATGGTGGTTAGGGATGGGATGTAGTAAAAGGGAAAAAAGAGCAGTGATGGAAAAAAAAAATATTTTTGGATTAAAAAGTGCTTCAGGAATGGAGGATAAAAGAAAATTAAAAAATTGTAGGATCAAACATGTTTGGACTAAGAACCATTATAATTATTATTTTAAATATTAATTCATAATTACAGAAAATCTTAATGTCATAACTCCTGAAGAACAAATGCAACTAGCAATCATAGTTCATAGTGCATCATAATAATTTGACTAATTCACAATATAACAGACAGGTTTCTGCACAATCCCCTTCTGTGTGCTACTAGCAAATGTCTAGGGCAGATCCAGCAAGCATCAGGAGAAAAACCTCTGAAACCACTCCCTGGTCCAGTTAATTCTTTAGATTCAGGAAATAACATAATATTGGAATACCGTGACATCATGCATTTTTATTTATATGTGTATATATAAAGACAAATTACATTGCATCTAACATGTATTCTTCTCAAGAACAACTGAAGTTCCAAGTTCAATCCTTCACACACTTACATACTCTTGTGTGCACATATAAAAACACGCAATTGGAACACAACTTGCTCTGCTTCCATCAGATGGTTATTTAGCAAAATGGTTGGATTATACAGTGGTGTAGAATTTCATGTTTTCTTTTACGAGCCAAAAAACTAGCATATCAAAACAGTAGCTTTGTTTCTTTTAAATTTTCAGCTTGCTTTACCACATCAGTGTCCCACCACCTTTTCCTCCCTCAATTGAATTTTCAATTGCATTTCAAATTACAGCTTCTAGTTCTTAAATACAAAGAGGTTTATTTATTTATTATTCAATTATCAATCCATTTGGTCTTGTTTGTTTTGTAGGAACCCAGTATTAAATCACAACTATTTTTTCCCTGTGGCAAGTATCAGTGAAAGATAAATTCAAAGTATAAAAGTTACCTGCTGACAAGAGTAATAGAAGCAGAACCATCAGCACATTCAAGGACTGTTGACCACAACTTGTCATCGTTGGCTTTCATTGGTCCATTAGAGAATTACCTGTTTGACAAGATGCAACATCATGGTTCAGTGTCTGTTTCATCTCATTTTTGTTGTTCAAACTTTTACTTCCCCACAAAGCTTCAGTAAAATTAGATGGTTTCACACAATAAGAAAAAAAATAATACTTTTTTTTCCAGACTTATGTGCAAAATAAATTATCCTCCTTTATAATTTCGTTAAAATTCCTTTCTCATTTCACCATGAATGTATACAGCTATTTACATACTTTTCATTAACCCAGAGTAGAGATGAATCATGTAAAGTCTTTACTGGATATTCACACCTCCCATGTAATCTACATTCAGCAAAACTGTGCTTGTTTTACTGTCACAAGAATGGACTGTTGTATTATGCCTGTAAGGACTAGAAGAATATAAACAATATAAAAATAAACTAGCTGCTTTGAAAGATTGACTTTTTACAATCTGTTTTACCCCATTAGAGGGTGCAGTCGTTCAGAAAGTGGGTCGAGCAACTGAGATGGTTGGAAACATTTCAAAAAATGTCTTTTCATTAGTATCAGAGTAGTTCATGGGACTATTATTTTTTTTTCCTAGAAATGAGGGTGAGATGTGATGCAGTTTGGCTGGAAGTCATCACAAAAAGGCTATCCTAGTTTTCTGCAGAACTGCCCCACAACTGGGTGAGTCCAAATACATCTTATATCCACATTGATTCAATGTCACCAGCTGCACATTCTGCAGCTCTAGCAGAGGCCCTGTCCCAGTGCAAGTATGGTCATCAATATCAGTAGGAACTTCTGTTACCCCACCCTGTTGTCACTGCTAATGCAGACTAAAGCTGGATGTGTAAAGTCTTCAGCATCTTGAACTCGCACTGACATCCGAGAATAACAAAGAGGTAATTTATTGGTTTGTACAACAACACTGGGAGCTTGGGCTATAAACCAGAAAGCCTAGGTGGTGCTACTGAAACCTGGTGGGGCGAGACTAATTCTTGGGTTGTTAAAAAAAAATGCTCTAAGGTGTTCATAAAAGAGAAACTTGGAAAAAATACAAGAAAATGGCAATCTGTAAAAAATTACATAGTTTGTTTCTGACAGCTCAAGAGCAACATGATGCCAAATGCTTATGAAATCAATGCTGTATCATATAAATACCAGGTAGTTTACTAATATGTGTCTACTACAATCTATTGAATTATATTAAAATCCCAAGATAATTGCACCTGCATGTAACAAAAGGGGAGGGAGTGAAAAATCAACATTATTATGAATAACTAAATTCTGAGTAACATATGTGAGCACAGGAGGGGAAACACAGTACTGTCCACAATAGAGTCAAAAGGTTTCTCACTAACAAAAAATGATGTGTCTGGGCACAAGCAGATTCTCTAAGTCGTAATCTTAGCATATGAAAAACAACAGATCAAAAACCTAAAAATCAGTGTAACTTTTGTACAAGAAATCATGGTAGTATCTGCAAACATGATTAACATCCAAACCACTCTATTTGTAGCTTTAAAATAAGTCAGTTCTTCCAAGGGAAAAAACAATTAGAAACCATAACACCATGAGGAAAAAACAAAAGTGCAGAAAACTACGAATGTTAATTAGGAATAAGTCTCTAAGCATCAAACCTGTTTGAAAAAGCCGCTACCTTTTTTCAGAAGGATTATCATATTAATTAAAACATCAAGCAGAATTAAAGTTAGAATTGTATAGAAAAGAATACTGAATATAAGCCAGAGGTTAAGAATGTAGGAGTTTAATCAAGAAAAACAGACACAAAGAACAAGCTATTGCCAATATTGTTAGAAAAAAAAGAAGTAAGATTTTTTTCCTGCGTAAACCAAAGCTGTGGGAATTCTCACAGTGATTTGTTACTAGAGGGAAATCATGGCTTTAGTAACAGTTAATTAAGAAGAGATCAATAAGCACTTCTGTTGTGTGTCTGGGAAGAGACAGGTGTTTGGTATAGTTGAGACTATTAAATATTTCCATATCAAGAATAATTTAGGATGACAGTAATGAGTTGATGCTAAGGTTTGCAATTTGATATTTGCAATTCTGTATAATTTGTATCCAGTTATTTTAGAAGAGCTGGCTGGGGGACATATATACCTTTTTTTCAGTTTGCTGGGAAACTATCAGAGGTTTCAGAGGACCTGAAGAAACCTAAGGACATTTTTAGAAGTAAATGAGATAATCCAGGTAATTACAAGCTTATGAGCGTGATGTGGATCTAGAGAAAATTATTGGAATGGTTAATATAGAATCCAATTAATAAATAAGTGGAGTAATATAATTAATGCATATCACTGTAGGCTTATGATAAAGTAAACTTTATTTCTCTCAGTGTTGTTGTTGATGAAGGTAGCTTAAGGATAGTAATAATATAATAGATTTCTATAAAATAGCTCACTTACTAGCATGGAATTTGACCAGGCAGTGAGAACGATGAAAAAAGACAAAAGAGCAGCATATCAGTTGTGGAAGACTAACTAAGACTGGAGGATACATGGTTTTTGGAAAGTATGGTGTTGCTAGTAATTGAGTACAAACAGCTTTACTGTTAATTTTTTAATCAGTACTGTACATAGAAATCTAGAAGCTTTTCAGGGAGGGGAAGATTTATTCAATTATATCTGATAGAACTGACAATAATGGAATTGGCATGTTAATCCAAGTCTTATGATGCTTGTATTTTATTAAGTGCCAGCTGGGAAGATCAGAGCGAGAGACTACAACACTAAAGCCACATCTCAAAGGACAGGAGAGTGACAAAATCCATGATGTATACACATATACGTATTTGTGATGACAGGGAAATGCTCTGATTTTATAACTACTGCTTCAGTGATCATTCAATGGTCATGAATATGACCAGTTTTAGGAGCACAGAGATACAACTAACCATTCACTACTTGACCATTTTGAAATTATTTTTACATGCTGTTGACTGACTAAAGCAGTCATATTTAGTGCAGTATCATGAGGATGTCTCTGAGCTATTATAGATCAATCAACCAGGGGGAAGGGATGGGCAGAAGAACCAGTGGCACACTAAAAGAAAGTGCCTAGATCGTACAAAGTATTTCCTAGTGCTAGGCCACAGAATAGAGATGATAGAAACGTGGTAATTATGAGTGATCTAGCTAAATAATTTTTTATTCTATTTATTAGTCAACACTTACAGGGCACTTTAAAATTAGAAAATTACATTTGAAGGCAAGAAGAAAGGTAGGTTTGATTGTAGGTTTTTTTTTTTTTTTTTTTTTAATAAAATTTTAATTTCTGGAGGCTACAGATTAGGTTTTCTTTCTGGTTATGTAAATCAGTGATTAGAAGGGTGGTCTAAATGCACCAATTTTAATTTTTAATGCACCATTTTAAGCTTATTTGTGGTCACTGTGAAGGGAAGGAGAATGCCCATCCATTTCAATATCCTTTGAGAGTCCTAGCCTCACACCACCTCCTCCCTTCTGCTAGCAATTACAAGTATTTCTGCAGCTACATCATAAAGTACAGTAAAGAAATAGTTGAAAAATCACAGTTTTAGAGGTTTTTTTTTCACTGTGTTTCAACATGTCTACTACGAAATACAAGAAATGGTCCTTACTCATGTTTTTTAAGTGATTTGCTATCTTTTCACGGAATAAGGATTATGTTAAGAATATTGCTTTCCCTTGCAGAAGATGCAACAATGAATGATTCAAAGAGAGCAACATTCAAAAGAAAGGTGCTGTAATGTTATGATGAAGGAGAACAGACATTAATATGAGACACAGCAAGTGGTGGCTTTTTGTCTCTGCTGATGAAGAACCTACAGTGCACTGTAACTTCTAATCTCACCACCATTACAGAAACTGAATTCATTTGCCTTTAACCTTCCTCCTCACCATGGACTTTAGGTGCGGGGACCAGATAGATGTATCAGATCATTATGCCATATTTTACTTTTTGCTTACACACCATGGCATTATAACTCTTACTCCGCTGCTACATACGCTGCTTTGGTTATCCTTAAGAGTTTTATCTAGCTGTCTTTTCTTGAAGGGAATCAGTGAATCACTGGAAAGAAAAGCTGCCAAGAGACATAACAATTTCATGTGGCAAGATTTTTATGTAGAAATAATTTTCCCCTCACTCTGAAGGAAAAGAAAAGCTATGTTTAGAATAGATGTTTGAAAAACATTGCACATTTTTTTGGTTATTAGAAAGAACAAAAGGAGCTAGCAAGAGATTTTATTAAATACATCAGCACTGCCTCACAAGTTATGTCTCTGTATAGAGTAACAGAAAAGGAGGTGATTCAAGAGATCATCTTTCTGTCACAGGATTAAGAACATCTAAACCATTCTTAGCAAAAGTTCACAGACTCTTGATCACCAGAAGGGTTTTTCAGCCTTCTCAGGCAATTCTCTTCCAGCGTTTCTCTAACCTCATGGCTAGAAAGGTTTTCCTAACCTTTCTAGAAAGGTTGTCTAACTTGCAGCAGCTTTGCTTTGATTTGAGCCCATTCTATCCCCAGTGGAGCTGGAGAGTGATTTACTACCTACAGATATATTGGTTGCACCTCTCTCTGCATCAGTCTTTAATTAATACATACAAAAAGTGCTATCATATCTTCACTCGGCCTTTTCTTAGGCTAACAACTTCTACTTCTTACAAACTTTCCTTAAAAACTACTGTATTTGCTATACTTCCTATACCTCATCTTAAATCTGGCTCTACACTTTATGGCAAGGTTGCGTGTGCGACTTCAGTGTCGTTTCGGTTTCAGCTGTTCCTATTTTCTTAGTGCCCAGAAGGTCCTAATATATATCCCAATAGCTGCCAACTCTTCCAAGGTAAATAAAATTACAGCCTTACAAAAGTGCAGACAACCTTAGCGCTTCTTGCTAATTCTCATAGTTAATCAAAATGTACATAGGCGTATCACTGTTCTACCAACACAGGTACTTCTACCTACAGACATAACTGTATAGGTAAAAACATACCACCACATGTGACATGATTGAGGATGACTCCCTCT